GCTATTATGATAAAGGCATTTTGAATAGTTAAAGAATTGGCATAGAGCTTTGAACAAATAGTATTAAAAGCCTTCAAGTGTTGCATTTAATTAGGCAATAATAATACATAGACAGCTTTAGCAAGATGTTAATTTGTCTCATTTCACATTTGTCAGAAGAATACATATAAATATATGACAACCAGTATTTTTTAAATAATCATAAGTTTTCTCCATCAAGGACACATAATAAACAATCTTCTAAATGCTAATGTTGTTGGATAATTTGGTTCCATGTCAAGCACTCTGGGTCTACTCTTTTGTTCTAGTAAAACTTCAAAAGTAGACATTAATTGCACTATTTTACATATACTATGAAGAACTGGCAATTATCCAGTATGAGTTTTATCCTGATTTTTCAAAAACATCTTTATTTTGTTTTGGTGTTATCTGTATAACTATGTAGAAATGTGAGGTAGCAATTGTGAGGAGAAGAGAAAAAACATGTTTACCTAATATATATGCCACTGTTTTGAACGTTATCACAGGGCACTGCAATGGGCTGAGCAGTCACTGGTAGAAATGCAAACAAACCCCCCTATCTGGTTGTTCTGAAGTTGTCTGGTTGCAATTTACATTTCTATGAAATATTTTCCCTTTAAAATTTGCTTTGTGTTGACAGGACGAAATTTTAATCCAAAGATTAGCAGATTCTAAGAGACTCCATAATGTGTTTGTTGATAGCCCGACAAAAACCTGAAGATTTTGTTTTGATTTTATTGCTAATACAAACAATGGCTCTAGGTAAAATACAACTATAATATAACAGAGAATAACATTAACATTTTCAAAATGCATAGATATACTGACATTGACTATCTCTTGAGATAACGGATTTTTGGCTGGAGGATTTGATTATATAGTAGCTTACCGTCATTAGTATCTATTTAAAGTAAATTTGATCAACTGTAATTTTTCTATCATAGTAGATGCAAATCATATAGTCTTCAACTTTGCGCCCAGCCACAATCACTCATTATCACGTGCAAAACACTGTGCTGCAATCCATTCAGTTGTGAAGCCGAGGAACAATGTGGCAACAGGGAAGAGATTATTCTGATGCTTGTGTTCATTTTGTTCACTACTCACCCACTCGATACTAGAGATGAGCTAACTACATCCTAAAGCAAGACTGTTGCATAGTGACCGACCTGGAACCTTCTCATTCAGTCATCTCCTTCACTATCTGTCACATTTCAGACATTGCATATGTATGGAAAATAACTCATAAATTTAGCTAACTAGAATGGGAATGTCAATGATTTTTTTTTTTTTTTTTTTTTTTTTTTTTTTTTTTTGAGACAGAGTTTCACTCTTGTTACCCAGGCTGGAGTGCAATGGCGCGATCTCGGCTCACCGCAACCTCCGCCTCCTGGGTTCAGGCAATTCTCGGGCCTCAGCCTCCTGAGTAGCTGGGATTACAGGCACGCGCTACCGTGCCCAGCTAATCTTTTTGTATTTTTAGTAGAGACGGGGTTTCACCATGTTGTCCAGGATGGTCTCGATCACTTGACCTCGTGATCCACCAGCCTCGGCCTCCCAAAGTGAGCCACCGCGCCCGGCCCATGTCAATGATTTTTAACGTCACTGATCATTAGAGAAATGCAAATAAACCCACAATGAGATACCATCTCTCCGTCAGAATGGCAATTAAAAAGTCAAGAAACAACAGATGCTGGCGAGATCGTGGAGAAAAAGGAATGTGCTTACACTGTTGGTGAGAGTGTAAATTATTTCAACCGTCGTGGAAGACTGTGTGGTGATTCCTCAAAGACCTAGAAGCAGTAATACCATTTGACCCAGCAATCACTGTATTATGAAGATGTATGTTCATTGCTACTGTTCACAATAGCAAAGACTGGAATCAACCCAAATGTCTATCAATTACGGACTCGTAAAGAAAACTTGATACTTATATATCATGAAACTATGCATCCATAGAAAGGAACGAGATTATGTCCTTTGCAGGGACATGAATGGAGTTGGAAGCTGTTATCCTCAGCAAACTAAGGCAGAAACCGAAAACTCAGTGTTCCCACGAAGTTGAATGACAAGAACACATGGACATATGTGGGGGAACAACACAAGGGGGCCTGCCAATACTGGGGAGGCGTGCAGGGGGAGGAAGAACCTCAGGAAGAATAGCTAATACCTAGGTAATGGGTTGATCTGTGCAGCACACCACAATGGCACACATTTACCAACGTAACAAAACTGCAAATCCTGCGCATGTACCCCAGAACTTAAAATAACAGTTGAAGAAAAAAATAAAATAAAATAAAAATTTCAACAATCAAAAAAAATTTCTGTGAAGAATGAATTTAAACAATAAACCCAATTTTTTGTCAGTGATTTAGATATGATAATATTTTCTAGAGAATAGCCTAGGGATATTTTCTACTTACAAGCAAATAAACATTATTTTATAATGGATTATTTCCAATCCAGTCTTCACCTGCATACTATGGAATTATTAAATTATAATTATATTTGTTTAACATTTTCATACCTTTCTATTTGACTTCCTTCCAAAAGAAGAACTAAGCAACTACTTGGTGGGTTTAATGATTGCATAAAGTAATCTGAGTAATTATAAAAAATTAATTTTTTTTTCATAAACTAGGAAGCAGTGACTTATTTGATTGCTTTTATTGGCATTGGGAATTTTCATTTTATTCTACAGTATTTTTTTTCAAAATACTGTAAAAAAGTACTTAAAATCATTCACCTAAAAATTGATCTTTTGATGCCATGGGATAAGTGAGTGTATCTTAAGAGATATATGAAGTGAGGCTAGTCTTCCTCAGTTAACCAAATAACTCAAGAAAAACATAAACTGTTTTTAAAAGAGTTATGTTATTTAGGCCTGCACTATTTATACTAGTTTGGTCTACACTATGTACCTCCTTCTAGAACTTCTCAGGATTTTGTTTCCTTCATTTTCCACTTTGTGGCCATTTATTACAGTTGACAGCTTAATTGAAAAGAGCAGGAGAGATTCAACTTAGCCTTAAAGTGAGATCGATATCACCAAATTAGTGCAATATGTTCTTAATAAAATATCCTTTCTGGCAAAAGCTCAAAGAACAGACAATTATTGTATTGTCTATTAAGACATATTCCTCATTCAACATATCTAAGATTAAAAATAAACAAGACCTTAAAAGTACCAGTGTTTTCTGGATCTTTCCCCTAGGCATTCAAATAGAACTCACCTGAGATGGGTTAATTCACTTTAAAGAACTTAAAAGCAGTGAACTTAAAATCTGAGATTCTGGCCTCTTTCTCACTGAGAGTGAGGCTTCTAAAACGTAGTGTCTCTAACGAAGCAGCCTACAGTGTTAAGTCCATGGTATCCTCTAGTCGCTCAGAGAAACCTTTGCTGAGTCCTGTGACTGTCCTGCCTGCCAGGTTAGGTATCTGTGCATTGAATAGCAAATGTAAAACCTCTAGGGTATGATGTCCTATTGCAACGCGCAAGGTGCATTTTCATCACTGATACCCAATCAGTTTGTTTGCTGCGGTAGCAATAGCAGAAGCATCTGAAACCGTCTATTCCTTTGGCATCAGAGATGGTATATTTTTCACACCTTCACTTAATATAACTACTCCCGAGACATATCATTAAATTATGAACTCCAACTGTGGACGTCCAAATATGTCATCTAGAAACACCTTAAAGTTGAAGTCTTCAGCTCTCCAGATTGCAGGTTGGTTCCTATTGGACAACTTGCTGTTCGTTATCGTGGCAGAAACTCTGTATAACGTGGAGGCATTCTTAACCTGCCTGTCGTTTGGACTTTCTCCATGGCTGTCATCTACAAGATTTATTACAAATTAGTTTCAGTACCAAGTGTAAAATCAAGGTGGTCAATATCATATCTTCTAGGGAAATTACTGTGTCCTATTATGAAAGTTATAAATCTTGATTCCTCTGAAATTATTTTCATTGTACTCTGCTAAGAGTAGCCACAAACACATTGTCATATATTTATAAGGGATAAAGACAAGAACTGTGCAAATCGTGGCACAGGAAATTGAGGCTTAAGAATTGTGTGAGACACTTAAAAAAATGAAATAAATACTAATTATAATCTGACATCATTACCCATAATTCTGCTAACATTTCTGAGCACTAAGTGCCAAGCATTGTGTTTAGTGTTTTATAAATGCTAACTCATTTAAATATGTGATGCCAGAAGAATATGAAGGATGACTTCACCAATGGAAGGAAGGTGGGCTGGAAAGCATAGGCTTGGTCTGTAAGAAAGACTGATCTAAGATCAACTTTGGATAGCGAGAAGTGTTGAGAAATGGGAGAACAGAAAGGATCTCTTGGTTAACAGTTGCTCCTTTCTGGGAATATGAATCTAAGACAGTCAGGCTCAGAGTAAAACTCAGTCTTGGGTAGGTTCATCTGTAGACTACAAAAGCGGTTCGGTGCTCTGTACGAAAACAAACAACAACAAAAATGTGTCCCCCCTTTCTCGGTATTGGAGACCTGTTGACCTGTTTCTGCTGGAAAATTGCCACCTTCCAAGAAGCAGTCAAGTCTCTAAGGGCTTTTAAAGCAGGTTTCGGAACTTCGGGAAAGCTAACTGGACTCTGCAGGGCTACCCTGAAAATCATATAAAGCCAGAAACAGAAAAGGTCACGTGTTCTCTCCAGGTCAAAGCAGTAGAAACATGCTAAGGCATCCCCTGGATAAACCACCAGGGATGCCTGGGAATAAAACTGCGAGTAAATCCTGACCCTATTATCTTGTCTATCTTCCTTCTCCTCAGGCTCCAACCCTATGTCTTTATCAGAAAATGTCTTCTTTATGAAATTATGCATAAATTAGCCCCCGGGCCCACCCAAAGGCTGTTCACGATCCGACTTCCGAGGTCCGGCACCTATAATTCCCTTTTTGCTTTCTTTAGCTGGCCTCTCTCATTGCTAGCCACCCAACAGGATAAAACGAGTCTCTGAGAAGAAGACGCAAAGATGAAAAAAATGCCAGGCAAAAATGATTTTATTTTAAATGTTTTCGGAAAGGCGGTTCGCGTCTTTTCAGATTCCCTGAACTGATCATCTCCAAGGTATCACTCAAGTTAAAGAGATGGGACTTTTTTTCTCCCCCGCCCTTCTCCACGCATCAGTGGAACAGGAGGGAGGAGACGGAGGAGAGAAGAGGCAGGGAGGCGAAAAAGTGACAGAAGCAAGAGAGAAAGGGAGAGGGATGTGGAAGGAAGGAAGCCAGGAAGGCAAGAGCAGAGGGGTGCTCGGCGTGCTGGAGAGCCTCCGAGGTCCGCCCGCCCGCAGGCGCCGGGACCCGCAAGGGCGGCGCAAGACTTCCCCGGCGCGCAGTCGGCGGCGCGGCCCCGGGAGCAGGCGGCACGCACCGCTGTCCTCCCGCTCCGCGGGGTCGCCCTGCCCTCCCGCGCCCCGGGGCTGGGGGCGCCACCTTGCCGGCGGCGACTGCGGCAGGGAACGCCGGGGGTGAGTGTGCGGATCGCGGGGAGCCGGGAGAGCGCGTCACGCCCGCAGCTGGCGCGCAGGTGGGGAAGGGGCGTGGGGACGAGGGGAGTGGGCGGCCGGACAGCGCCTGCTCTGCGCGGAAACGCTGGGAAGCCGGCGCCAAGTCCTTTCCCACACTACTTTGATCCCACGGCGCAGGAATGCAAGAATTGCCCTTTCCCTTTCTGCCCGCAACCTCTGCTCCCTGGGGGCGAAGTTTCGTGGTGCTGGGCGGAGACAGTGGTCACGGCTGGGAGGAAGGGAGGTGCCTGACCCGGGCCCAAGGGCGAGGGGTGCCGGTCCACGCCGGCGAGACCCCACTTAGGGCGCAGGCACCTTGGGGAGCCGCTGGGGTGGAGAGAGAGGGGGCACGAGCCAGAATCCAGCAGTGGAAGGACGGGAGCGTCTTCTAATCCACCCGTCGGTGGGATCTTGGGAGGATTCGCGGGGGGGCGGTAAGATAAATGTGAGGAGCTGGAAGAAGCCGTAGATCGGCAATTGTTTGGAGTTTTCCAACTTGATTTCCCGCGGGTGCGAACCGTTGAGGTAAAAGGGTAAGAGAGAGCTTCCACCTCGCGGCCGCAGCGAGCCTGGCTGCTGCAGGTCTGACCTGAGGTAGGGCTGTTTGCTCCTTCCTCTTTGGAGGGGCGATCGAGCAAAAGAGAAAGGGGAATCTGAGAGGCCGGCAGAATGAGGGTTCATCCTCAGGGGTCCTGCCCCTGAAGGGGCTGTGAGAGCTCAGGAATGAGGAGAAGAAACGTAAACCGAGATGGGCATTTGGGGAAGTTCCAGTGCTGGATTTGATGCTGAGGTTATTTCAATTGTCATCGAAGACGTGGCCACTGATGGGGCCCTGGATGAGAGGGCCCTTCCTAAGGCCAGGCCCTTTGGAAGAAGCCTTAAGGAATAGATTTTGTTTTTCCTGCATGTTAATTACTTCCCAGGCACCTTGACGATGGTAATATAGTTAAGATGATTTGTTAGGTGAATATTTAAGATGACATAAGCAGGTGACGTTAACCTCTCCCTCATCTTCTAGAAGAGATATGTAATTCTTGCAATTTGATTAAATTTTAGTGGGTGTTCTATGCCAAAATAAAAAGGAAAACAGTACAAATTTTAATGTAGATTTAGCTCTAGTTCCATTTACATACAAGTCTTTGAAATTTTATTTGATGATCAACTGTCTAATGATGCTGAAGTTTGGTGTGCCCCATTTGTCTGTGTTTCTTGTGAGAAGTGGAATGGACTCTGGGCTACCTTTCAGTGATAAAGTGAGGGCGTCCACAGCAGAAGCAAACCCGAGGAAGACTCCACCATCGCGTCTGAGCCTCTTCCTCTTCCTCCTCTCCATTTTCTCCTCCCCTAACTCATAAGCAGGTCCAAACATCAGCACCTCATGCCTTCTCTTAAGGAAAGATTCCTTCCACCCGATTCTAACCTTTGTTTCAAAGTCAGTCTTGAGAATGAAAGTATTTATTCACCGTCTCAATCAAAAGGGGTTTTCTAAGCTTTGGGAGAGGTGATTCAATGAGGAACAAACTCAGATATTTCTAGAACAAATTTTACACTTGCCTGCTATTACCTTGTTCCTATGAAAATAACTTGCTTTACTAATTTTTAATCCAAGGAAGTTCAGTGTATTTTTCCACACATCTCTTAGTTAGTGTGAACCATTCATTCACCCTTCATCCATGTGGGCTTATTACAAAGCTAATAAGCTTAAGTTATATTATGGGGTTGTTCCCTTTCAACAGCATACAAAGAATTTATTTGTTGGAATGAGGACTTTAAAGAATAACTCATGTTTTGCCATCTCGCCTTGCTAGCCAAATTTTATTATGTCAATGGGTGGGATTGAGCCACAGCACATTTGTAAAGACAACTTCTTCACTTTTTTTGGTAGGGGGGTGGATATTGTTACTTTTTAAAAATAAATGAATGCATTACTTAACTAGTTATATTAAGTCCTTATTGTTCTTATAAAGACTACTATAAAGCCGCTAATAAAAACTATACACATACCTTTCTTAGAAAATGTTTTGTTTTTATTTAAAGTTGGGTGCATATTTTTCCTGAAGACTGAAAATTAGAACTTTTTTTTTTTTTTTTTAGACAGTCTCACTCTGTCGTCAGGCTAGAGTGCAGCAGCCGGATCTCGGCTCACTGCAACCTCTGACTCCCTGTCAAGCAATTCTCCTGCCTCAGCCTCCCGAGTAGCTGGGATTTCAGGCATGTGCCACCTCACCCAGCTAATTTTTGTATTTTTAGTAGAGTTGAGGTTTCACCATGTTGGCCAGAATGGTCTCAATCTCCGGACCTTGTGATTTGCCTGTCTCAGCTTTCCAAAGTGCTGGGGTTACAGGCGTGAGCCACCACATCTGGCCAATTTACTTCTTAATCAGAAATAAAAGGAGTGATAGTTTAATTTTCTTATCTAGCAAATGTGGTCTCTTTTGAATTTGATTAAGTTTTACTGAAATCATTTTAAGGATGTTTGAAGGGCATTTTCAAGTACATTGGTAATAACTGGATAATGTAAAACAACACGGACACACCGATATTTGCAGAGCCATGGCGAGATTCTCTTTTTTTCCAGTATGAAAGGTGGACAGGACGCTGCTCGAGGCGGAGGAAACAAGATGCAGTGTGTTGGCTTCTGGTTGTTATTAACTGAAAGCACTTTTAACCCTTCAGTGGTCAGATCTGGAAACCCCTAGGGAAACATGTAGTGATCGAACCTAGAACCACAGTTCCAGTGCCCTGTAAATGGAAAACTTACTTTTCCATTCCCTCAGCCTTACTAGACAGACTGATTTAGGGCTAATACGAATTTCTGATGTAAAAGTGAAGAACCCTTGAAGTACAGTAGGATAACTCAGAATTGACACCAGTAACACACATGATCTTTCCACTTGAAAAGGAGCAACAGAGGCATAGAGTCTAGAAATGAACATAAATAGGCAAAAATTACATCAATGAGTATTAAAAAGCGGGGACTCTATGAATTTCATAATCCCTCCAATTTTTTGTGTGTTATTTCCTTCTCTCAGAAGTAATATGTGTCCATTTAACCGAGGGTACAGAGCTCCTATTTTCTTCTATGTACAATGGAAGACATGAAAGCATGTCAGCAGGAAACTGTTTCACAAGTATCTTCTTGCTATTCTATGGAGCGTTTCTGTTGGAAGACAAGAGGGGAGGGAAGAAGGCTGTCAGGCAGTCACCAGCGTTTGCCAGCCTAGTCTTTAACCAGAATGTGTTGTAGAGATGGTGGGAAGTGTCTGAATTCCAGATGTAGTTGGAGGCAAAGGTGACAAGACTTGATGATGAATTAGATATGGTTAGTGTTGGAAAGAGAGGAATGGAGGCTCATGTTGAGATTTATGACGAGAGCAACAGAAAAAAATGCAGTTGTCATCAGCTGATGTGGGAAGACAAAGGAACAGCTGCATTTTGAGCACCTTACTAGATATCCAGGTGCAGGCATAACAGGGATAGATGGGACAGAGCTCAAGGAAAAAGCCAGAGTTGGAGATAAGAATGTGTGAGTCATCATTATGTAAATGGCATTTAGAAGAATGGGATTTTATGAAATAATTTCAGGGGAGAATGTATTTAAAGGATCAAGCTGAGAAAAGAGTTCTAGAGCAGTCCAAAATATGGATATTGAAGATAGTAGGAGCCATAAAAGGAAACTGAGAAGGAGCAGTTTGTGGGATAGGGGAAAATCCGGAAGGCTGCGATGTCATGGAAGCCAGAAGAAGAAAGGATTAAAAGAAAAGGAAGTGATGATGATCAGAGCGTCCAAAGCCGCTCAAGTGCAGAATTATGTAAAGGCAAAGAATTACCTCGGCATTTTGCATCACCCTCACGAAAGCGATTTCAGTCAAAATGGTAGTGGCAAGATTGATCTTTAACAATTGAACAAAGATTGGTTATCTGCTGATTCCAATTCCAGGAATTTATCTTACAGATATGCTTACACTTAAGTAAAATAATAATAGATGTTCAAAGTTACTCTTTGAAGTTTTGTACATGAACACACAATTGAAAATAGCATAAATACATATACACAGAAAACAAGCCAAATAATCTATATATAGTAGTCCGTCTTTATTCAGTCTCACTTTCCCTAGTTTCAGTTACCGGCAGTCAACCGCAATCTAAAAATATTAAGTGGAAAATTCCAGAGATATAAAAAATCATGTTTTAAATTGCATGTCATTCTGAGTATTGTTATAATTGTTCTTCGTTATTGTTGATACTCTTACTGTGACTAATTGATGAATTAAACTTTATCATAGGTACGTACAGATAGGGAAAAACAGTGTATGTAGAAAGAGTTGGGAGTTATTCATGGTTTCAGCCATTCACTGGAGGATCTTCAGCCTGTACCTTATAGATAAGTAAGAACCACTGTATATACATTCAGTGAAACACTATCCAGTTGTTAAAATTATTAAGCAGCTTTCCATATATTAAAATTAAAAGATCTTCAAAGTTTGTTAAGCTAGCAGAAAAAGTTGCAATGCAGTATGTTTGAAATGCCATTATTTATTATAGAACAAATAAAAATGAGCATTTATATGAACATATATTTTAAAAAACAGTAGACAATCATAATTGCCTACAAGGAGCGAAACTGGGTGGTAGCGTAAAGTGACAGAAGGAAGATTAACTGTAATTTATATACCTTAATAACTCTGAATCATGGGCACATGGATTAGCTATTCAAAACCCTAAATAAAACTTCACACATGAATCTGAAAAAAAATGTAGTTTAAAATGTAAAAGAAAACAAAGAATGGGTGATGAGGAAATGAATACTATGTATAACAGAACTCTGGAAAAGTTTCAAAAAGAAGATTAAAAGTAGCTGGAGTGGGCCATGGAGATTTGTTTTAAAATGGGAGTTCTTATGACCAATGGGAATAAACTATAGAGAAGGCAAAGTTGATGGTGGGGGGAATGACCACTGGGGGAGCAAATCCTTTCATAAGTGGTAGGGAGTGGCACTTAGCCTGGTGATACTAAGGGAGAGAACTAGCAGGACAAGGAACAGGGACAGTGCCATTTCCTAGAAACCCCCACATTTGGATCCATCCTTTGGCCAGCATCCTACATTCCTAAAGCTAATGTGCCTGGGACACTTGTACGAACGATTGCAGTTGACGCCACCATAAAGTCTCGGTTCTTAATGTCATTTGGATTGTCTCCACCTCATCAAACGTTTCTTACCACTCCCTCCAGTTCCCACTGGCTCAGAACTAATTCTCTCTGCCCCGCCTCCCGCTTCAGTCTTAGGACAGTTGTAGACTTCAGAGGTTCTCAGGGATGAATCGCCCTCACCAGTTCTATCTCCTGTATGTTTATCTGCTCAGCTCATCTCCTTCCCTCTAGGCCTGCTGTCAAGCTGACCACCGTCTCTGCTCTGGGTCCCAAAACTGCCCCC